AAAGCCTCCAGCGCCCACACCCCCTCTTTGGGGGTCAGGCTCAGGGGGCCCCTCCTGCGCGCGGACTCCCGCACCACGCCCAGCGCCCACACCCCGCCCTGCCCCACCTCCACCTCCCAAAAATGCCGGCCCGAGGCGAAGCCCCCCCGCGCCAGCACGCAGGGCTCGAAGTCGAAGCGCTCGGGGTGGTCCCGGACGTCCCTCGGCACCAGCTGCCCTCGCGCTTCTTTTCCGTCCTCCGAGAGCTGCAGGTGGGGATGAGCCGTGCCGGGGTCCAGGGTGACGTCGGCTGCGGGAGAAGGGAGCGCTGGAGGGCGGTCGGGGAGGATGGAGATGCTCCTGTCCCTCCCGGAGCCCGGGATCCGCCCCGCTCTCCCGTTTCCCGAGGATGGAGATGCTCCTGTCCCTCCCGGAGCCCGGGATCCGCTCCGATATCCCATTTCCCGAGGATGGAGATGTTCCTGCTCCTCCCGGCACCGGGATCCGCCCCGCTCTCCCATTTCCCGAGGATGGAGATGCTCCGGTTCCTCCCGGCACCGGGATCCGCCCCGCTCTCCCATTTCCCGGGGATGGAGATGTTCCTGCTCCTCCCAGCACCTGGATCGGCCCCGTTCTCCCACTCCCTGCACACACCAGGACCGTCGCTCTTCCCTCCCTCCCCGCAGCAGGAACGACATCGGTTTTTCCATGGGAAACTCTCCCAGGAGCCCAAACCCTCCATTTCCTCGCCCCGACTCACCCGGCTCCTGCAGCTGGAACATGAGGCTGTCTGAGGAGAGAATTTCACAGACTCGGGGTCAGACAATACCTTCATCCCACGGGACGGATCCCCTGGCCAAGCAAAACTCATCCCCGAGGATTTGTGCACGTGGATTTATCCCCGCTCTGTCCTTTCCCTGGCTTGGCACCCACGTGGGATCAGATTTTCCCACCAGTGACCCCTAATCCGCTTTTCAGGTGAGACCTGGGAGGGGAAACTCCTTTGCTGGGCTGGTTTTTCTCCTCTCTCCAACCCCCGACTGAGTTTTGCCCTCAGGGAAAACCTCAGGGTCCTTCTCTGGTGAACAGCTCCTGGATATCCCACACAGGGACCCCATTTCTCCCGGATCTCCCTCCCAGGGACCCCGCTCCTTCTGGGTTCCCACACCAGGCCCCTGCCAGTCCCGCTCGGCACCTTGGCATCTCCTCAAGGTGCTCCTCACCAGGACGTTCCTCTGGACAAAATCCTCGAGCCTCCTCTCCAGATCGGAGGAAATCTCGGCCGGGGGGTGGAACTTCATCATCTCACAGCTGCAAAGAAGCCAAAAAGGGGAAAAACCCTCCAGTCTGATGGTTCATTTTATTCTCATTAAATAACCCGGGGGCCGTTATGGGACGGGCTGAGGATGTTTATCCCAGCTGCAAATCCAAGCCCCTTTTCCCTGCCCTTCCTGGGCCGTTTCCTTCCCCCAGAGCCAAATTCCCGAGCCCGAAGCAGCAGAGTGGGAGTGGGAAGGAAACCTGGACCTCGGGATTGGCCTGGATGGCCCCAGAGGTGCGAGGAGGGAGAAGGAGCTGCATTACCTGTCCAGGAGCTGCTGGAGGTCCTAAAGGTGGGAGGAGAGAGGAGATGGTTAGAGAGGAGGAACAATAGACCGTTCCTTCAAACCCCGGGATCAAAGAATTCCAGCCTGGTTTGGGTCGCAGGGACTTAAAAACCCATCCTAATCCACACCCGATCCACATCCCAGAGGTGTCCGAGCTCTGTCGCAGCCGGGACATCGCCAGGGCTGTGGCAGTGACACCAGGGGAGCCCCTGTGGGGATAATTCGGGCTCCTGGGTCTCTTGGATTTTGTTTGCTCCGCCTTTTCCCCTCCCGGTCCAAGAGCTGCGGACTCTCACCTGCAGGAAGTGGCTCGGGGGCTGCTGGAATTTCCCCTCCATCTCCCAGATGAGGGTGTCCAGCTGGGATAACTCCTCCGAGACCTTGGCCAGCGCCTCGTCCTGGGCTCGGCCGATGGCCCTGTCCAGGTCCCCGAGCTGGGCTAGGAGGAGACGCTCCTTCTCCTCCAGGAATCGCTGCAGTTCCCGGAATTCCTGCGCCGTCCGCTGCCCCTCGCTGCTGGTTTTGTCCTGCCGGGAGCGGCGGTGAGGGCAGGGGGCGGCGGAAGGGCCGAGGTCCCTCCCTTGCCCCCCTTCCCCTCCCAGCTCCGCGTTATCTCCCGGCGCAGCCTGCGCTGAGCCCCGGCAGATAAACACGGAACGCAGCGCTCCCAGAGCCAAACCCGGGAGATTTAACCCCAAAACACCGCTGGGGTAGAGGGAACGACCCAAACACGTCCCCGCCCCGGGATCCAAACCGCTCCCCGACCCCCCCAGCTCCTCTCGGGGGCTCCCACCAGGTGCAAACTCCTCCGAGCGCCGGATTTTCGGCTTTCCAGGTATTTTTCTCTCTCCTCCCTCAAAGCCTGGAGGCAGTTTTGGATCTGCTCCTGCAGGGAAATAAAAGGCGAACTCAGAGGGGCTGAGAAAAATCCATTTTCCCACTAAAATTTCCTCCACTCCTCGTCTGAGATGGGATACGCTTTGCATAAGAACCGCGAGGAGCTGAGCCAGAGCCAACCCCGCACCCAGGGAGGGCTGGGAGCCCCAGATAAGAGAGATTTCCCCCCAAAAACCATTCGTGGCCTCCAGAAATTTGGGTTCTGGGATAAAGATCTCAGTCTTTAACAACCTCAGGCAGATTTCTTCAGCAGGTGTTTATATCTACAAGAACCGCTGTCGATTTATAATTTCTTTAAGTTTATATAGGATTTTCCAGAAGTCTTTTTGCAGGAGAATAGAAAAGGATCAGAAAAGCGGTTTCTAAATCAGTTGTAACTAACCGACCCAAAATAATTTATATTTATTGTGAAACAGTGAAGACGCCCTTGAGACCGGATTAAAAACACCGCAGAAGAGGAGCATTTGGAGGCGTTTTCACACACTTTGGGCACCGAAATCGCCACCCAGCAATTGAAAGCCGACAACTCCCGTTTCCCACGGGAGCCGGGGGGGGATCTCCCCCGGAGCGCCGCTCCCCGGGGGCTGCCCGGTGCTACCTTGCACTCCTTGTACAAAGTACCTTGTACTCCTGGGCCGCTTCCTCGGCGGGCACGACGCGGTGCAGGCGGTGGAGCCGGGAGCGGCCGCACACGAGGCACAGCAGCGCCCGCTCCTCCCGGCAGAAGAGCTGCAGCGGCTCCCGGTGCCGCCCGCAGAGGGTCCCCGGTGCCGCCGGGAGCAGCCCCCGGGCGATGTCAGCGACGTGCCCGAGCTCGCGGTTGGGTCTCAGGCCGGGCTCCGGGGCCGCGTTCCGGCAGCGCGGGCAGGCGAAGGAGCCCCGGCAGCTCTGCCAGCAG